CAGCTCTTGAGTTTAGGGCATCAGTATTTTCATTATTTTCCCCATTTTTTCAACTGCATTGATAAATATCGTGGCATTTGTCCACACATCAACTGGTTTACATCACAAGTTCCGAAGTGTATACAGGCGTCACCCTTGGCCAATGTGTGTATCTTGCCAATTGTTTCGATACAAAAAGAGCTGCCAGTTGTAAAAAGTGGCTTGGCTCCTAGCAAATTGGCTTACCCAAACAAAGAGGTCTTTAATCTCCATTCTTTTGTGTATGGTGTGGGCTCCCTAATTACCCAAGAAAGGCATTGTTGTTGGTTGGGGGTGGGGGTCACTTAGTAGCAGTGTCCATGTGTAGGATTGTCTTGGGACAAAGCGTGGAAGACAATGAAAATGAAAAAAGAATTCTTGAGTGTCCATGGAACAAATAAGGAAAAATGTGTGTGGTAGCACATCATCCAGCGTCAAATGGTTAAAATTGCAGCTGTTTTGGTGACTTGAGGTTGCTTGTGTGACTTGAGATTGTTAATTGATTGGTTGATATCTCTTTTATTTTCATCTCCTTTTGAGGAAAAAAACCAACTTCGTTGACATGCACAGGTATTAGTAAATAAGGTTGATGTTTTTGTGCTCTGACAAGCCATTTTATACAGCTTTCTTTGTCTATTCCTGGTAAACCCTGTCTGAATGGCCTACAGTGGCCTCCAGATAGTCTGAATGGCTTCCCGTGGCCTCCAGATAGTCTGAATGGCCTACAGTGGCCTCCAGATAGTCTGAATGGCCTACAGTGGCCTCCAGAATGGCCTACAGTGGCCTCCAGATAGTCTGAATGGCTAAGCTTGAATGTCAATTGTTGTTGAGTCTTTGTTTATGATGTTTGATACTATGCATTGACCTAAACAGGGCACTCAGAATGTCTTGGACAGAATTTCTTCCGTCATTGGGTGAATTACATAGCAATTCAACCAACCGAACCTTATTCATTTTATTCAACCTGTATTCAACCATCCCCTTTGCCCTGCAAGTGCAAATCCTGTAATTGGTAGCAATAACATGCATAACATTAATGTCACTGACCATGAATTTCTTGTATTACATATGTACAAAATGGATTTGTGTGTGCTGTCATTGGGAATAGGACCACAGAGAAACAGCAACATAGAACTCGCTCTTGACCTTTGTATACCTTTGTATAACAGTGTGCAAATAGAACATAGTTTGTGGGGTGAATATAGTGAATTTCAGCTCCCCGTTGCGTTGGAAGTTAAACTAGTTCCCGGGTGAACCCACTCAAAATAATCTGTAATATTTGACTAATTGTTGCTCTGAGCACTGCAGGTGCAACAATTGGCACAGATCCTCACGTGTGAACCTGGTAAACAGAAAAATAGCAACTGGCATGTAATAATAAATGGACAGGTGAGAGTTTGGCCCTCAATCATGAGTTATGGTATAACCATAATTAGTGCTTTGTGCATGAGACAATGTTAACGTAGCAATGGAATACACGTATATATACTAGTCTAACAACATTTGTGTGCACCTACATGATGCTCTCTGGTGGCTCTAATGACAAGTCATACAGCGACAGATACAGCTCAATTTCTTCAAATCTGGTATTTTAATATCTGCATATCAACAATTGATCATTAACTTGATATTATTTTCAGAAATTGTAAATGTATTCATTGGGAAGGTGTCATATAGTATTGAAGTATTTTAAATGCTAGCTGACTATGACAAGTTCAGTACAAAACAGCAAATAAATCTCATTTTAAAATACATGTAAATCAGCAAAAATGAAACAATGTTGCTTCTATTGTTTTCCTTTTTGTGAGTTGACTGACCATTACGAGATCTACAGAATGTTGTGAAGGCAAAATAGACTAGCCTATGAGAAGGTAACTACCTTCTGGTGGTATATTGGTGCTTATCCAAATTGACTGCAAATGGCTCCTTAGTGGCGAGTTTATGCATAGTGACGAGAGATACTTCAGAGCCACTGTACCCCTTGACCCAAGATAAAAATACCCTTAAATTTGGCCTTGTCTGAAGTTAAGGTACTGAAGTTAAGGTATAGAGATAGAAACAGTAAACTGGAGTCTGCATGATAGTTTGACGTAACTTGTGTTAGTTAACATTCAGAAGTTTCTAGGTTCAATTTTTCAAAAGTAATTTCATGTACATGAACACTCCTATGCAAAGATGCATTCTTGACATGGTTGTCTTATCAGTCAAAATCAGTCCAATGACCCTTACATGTCAGTGTACTGGGACAAATCAAGTAGAAAGAATTTTGGACTGTCTGTGACAGTTGCAGCAAAAGGAGGGTTAAAAATGATATAACAATGCATGGAAAGTAGAAAGCTGTCATTTGTTTAAGATAATTGAAATTAAATCGACCATTTACCACATTAATTTTACCGTATAAATCACAAATCTGTCTTTTTTCTGCCAAATTGGCCAGCTACTGATAAAGGATTCTACATTGATATTCAAGGTTAATCTTGTCAGATAAAGCTTTGATTGCATTCATGCACATACTATACAAATAAGTTAACAAAAACACAGGAAACAGGCCACAATGAATATGATTATATTCCAGCCACTCCCTATGGACTGTATTAATGCTTAATTATGTACCTACTGCCATATAAGCTAATTTATTCTATTGCATGGATTTCCAATGTTCCAGACAGTTGACTAACATTCAAACTCATTCTGCCATGAAGCCATTTGACAGACACCCTCAACTTGCATGACAGCTTTTTGGCACAGTCTTGTAGTCAAATGACCAGTCATAGCTAAAAGTGTGCAGGCAAATTGTCTGTTAAGAGTCTAGGGTACACATATTTATCCATGACAAATGAGTGAGTCTGAGAGTGACAGAGTCTGAGTTCATGAGTCTGAGAGACTGTAAAGCCTCACCTGCGGGGACTTATAAATCTGTTTATTAGGTCATTACCCTAGCAGAAACATTGTGGTTGTAGTTAGTGCACCTGTCATCAAGTTTACCTGAACACGTGCCCACATGTCATATTTTCACTTGTGACTTCAGCACAAAATGACATATACATGTACTACATGCATATACCTCGGTAGTGTTTTGTAATTGTGATTACTGCTTGAGTCTATCTACATATGGACCAGTTACCATAACACAAGATTTGAACTTAAAATGGCTACCATTGCCCAAAGAATTAAATTTAATAATGTGGCAGCCAAAAGTCTCTACATATATTATCCATTTGTTGATAGCAGCAACATATTATACACGTACTGATATTCTTTGACCCAGAAAGGATAGAAAACAGAATGCAACCCTGGCACTGAAGCATCTCTGCAACCGGTTCAGAGAAACATTCACTTCTGCTTCAGCTCTTGCTTGACACACGCCTTGAATCCTTGCCAACCCACAGGCTTCTGGAGGTGTTCCTGTCCAGAAAAACAGATATGTCTTTAAATTTGAATTCTGTGCATTTGCTCAGTTTAGAAGGCTAGTAAGGAAAGATACCTTCCTTATATGTCTTTACACAAATAAATGCCTAGTGATCTGAGATCTGCACATGTGCAGTATGAGTTTATTATCTTATTTACAACACGTATTGCACACCCACTCAGTTCCAACTGGGCTAGAGAAAAGACAAAGTACTAATGGAAAGCTTGCAAACCATACATGCAGACGCCTTCTCAGTCAGTGTTTTGCTTTTATCACAAAAATCAGTGTGCTCTGTTAAATGAAGCACATTTGTCTTCTCCCAAAGATGAAAAGAGCACACTGTCTGAAATGTTGACTTTGTAAGGCTTCCATTTCTTTTCAGAACCACACATTCACAAAAGAGAAGACGGTGTCACCGAAAAATTACTTAATTTCTATGTACTTCCACCATGCACAACCTAAAGTCTGTCTTACAGCTAGTCAGAGTTGTGCAACTTGTATCACTTTAAAACCAATTGTTGACTTTTCTAATGCCTTCTGTCTGGGAATAGTAGTTGACATTTTGAGTGCTGCTTTCTTTATTTTAACAGCCATTAACAAGTGACATACGTGAAAGTTTCATCTCTTTCAGGATTACAATTCACAGTGACCTCAGAACTGTTGCCCTACTTTAGTGCCAACACATACAATTTTCTACATATAAAGCAGGCACAATTCCAGGATTGTTAAAAATGGGAGGCCATACCTTTAGTTAATAGTGTATTTGCATGCACGATAGACAGGTGTGGTTAAGTACATCACAAGATGGGTTAATCATATAGACAGGAAGTCTAGTCCCTAGTAGTTAAGCAATGGCAAAACAGTGCCTGTGTGGCTTGTGATATCGAGACAATAAAACAAATAACGGACTTTTGATGGAAATGATACACAAACGATAGCTGTTACAGCTGTTATTTTTATGAACCCTCCTATGCAAAGATGCATTCTTGACACGGTTGTCTTATCAGTCAAAATCAGTCCAATGACCCTTACGTGTCAGTGTACTGGAAGGAAGCATTTTTTAATTCACTTATTTGGTGTATTTCCCCACCTTGAGTGATGGCTTTCAAACTGTAAGAAAATAGACATCTAATCTACTTCTCCAATGTATCATTTTCTTCATTCTAGTTACATATCTGGGAAGTTATCCCTCGTTACATTTTGTCAGTATTTCACACAAGCAACACCATTGCTTTGTGATGGAATCTACATTACTATGACAAGGAGAAAGAGTAGCCCTATACATTTGAATTTTTCTTAAATAGAAGAAGTATGTAGCAGTGCTAAAGTAAGCAGGTTACAACCTGCCTAACAAAGTACAGCTGGTTGGGGTTGAGGACAATGTTGGCATGCAGATTCTGAACAGAAAATCAGACCATACAATGAAAGGAGATATTCTGGAGCAGGTTTCAGATTGATTTTGCATGTGGGATGGTGCCATTTGCAGGCCTTTTGCATTCTGAGCCTACATCTTTTTCAAGCAGCTTGCTATGAAGTATGCTAAAAATCCTTGCAAGTTAATAAAGAAGTTACGATTCATGGTGGGGTGACACGCAAAGTGCAGACAAATTAAACTATTTGTAGCAGCCATATGAAGCAACCTATGGGACAGAGACCACCCCCCGCCTTTGTGTTGGCCTTTGTTATACTGGTATCTGAGGACTTCTTTTTAGACATCGGGTGGAGGGGGTGTTAAATAACAATAGGCTAGAATACACATAGGGATTGGACTTGTTGGGGGTACCCCTCCGTCCCATTTCGTGCCTGGTATAGTTGCAGCCTATGGACATCAGGAGGGTGCAGTAGAACAAGGAAGATCATTGTAATGATGAATTCAAAATAAAGCAAAATATGTTCATGCAAAGATTGATGCAAATGCACATGACAGCAGTGTCACAGAGTTGCCAGTTAACTTAAAGACAATTACATGTATTGCTACAGTAAGCTGAATGATTCGTAACCCAAAGTAGTGCACAAAGTAAACATTTCTTTATGTAGCTTTTAATAGCTCAAATTTGATTGGAAAGCAAATGTCATAATCTGTAATCTTTTCCTAAGTAACATCAATTGATCTGTTTATGATACAACAAACAAGGGGAAGGAAGTGCGTTTATAATTCATCACTTTTTTGTTTCTATGTAGCATTGAATGTGCCATAAAAGCAGTATGTTGGGGAGAAAATCTTGTACAGTTGGTCTCTTGTTTAGTTAAATGCCTGTACCTGTCATTAATTGACTTTTTCTTCTTATGGAGTTTGGACATACATTTTGTAACAACTCTGAAAGAGCCAGTTAGGTATGTCAAAAAGGGTCATTCAAGAACAAAGCACATCAGACATCACGCCAGCTGGAACTTGTTCAGTGTGTGAGCTTGAGAACTGCTATGCTGGTAGGGTTGGCATTGTGTTTGGATGTTGAGGTTCTCAAGAAAGACCTACAACATACTTCACTTTACCAATTAACATGCTGTATTGAAACATGATCTGGCTCAATGACATTGGCCAATCACAAACACAGATATTGAGAGAGATATGTTCCATTAAAGTCTTAAAGAACTCATGTACCAGATTTCATTCAAAGGTCACTCGCAAAAGGCTTATTTCCTGCTGCCAGTCTGTTAATGAGGTAAGGACCTCACAGTCTCACTGGAAGGTGAGCTGTGGTCTGGACAGTATGTTTAATCATTACATGGTCCAATACCAAAAATCAAGCATTCATGCCAAGGGGAAACTATACAAAATACTGACACAGCAAAGTTATAGAGACCCCCGCCACAACATCACTGGTTGTTTGCAGTGGCCCCCATCAATCGTGGCAATAAGTATTGTGAAGCTATCATGTGGAGTCACTGTTCCATTAAAGTTGCTCTAAAAGCTTTTCACTAGGGGCCATGAAACATAACCAGAGTCAAGCAAAACACTGTGTAATTTTTCCTGAAAGCATGAAAGTGAAGAAGATAATCCCACAACTTAGTTTAACAGGACATCTCAGCAACCACTTGGTGGATTTGATAATATGGATGGCAATTACTGCACGGCACCTTTTTTCTTGGGGGGAACCTTCAAATTCTACTGGTGTCGCTACTTTGTACCTACCTATTAAAATCTTGTGCCAGTATGTGAAACAATCTGCCTTCTTGGAAGATCTATCAATGTTAGACCTGGCACTTGCCTTGAAATGGACAGTAATCTGATCTCAACCATTTTTTTCAAGCTAAACTGCTTAACCAACTGTTTAACTACAATGGCCACGGGATTAAGTAAGGAAGCTCCATTTTACTGGAACAGCTAGTACACAGGAGTCAATAATGAACAGAGTGGAGCCTTGCCTGTCACTGAGCAATACAGAAACTTGATGTATCATGCAAACTTGAATGGATCTAGGCAGGAGAGCCATCTGGGGCCATATGTCCCCTCTCAACAGGAGCCAACAACGTTTTTGTGAAAAACAGTGAGATGACTGAAGGGTAATTTTTTTGGTCCATTGTATTTCCCTTAGTTGAAAAAGTGTGTAAAAAGCCCTAAATGTAGCCTCAGCTCTCACAAAGGCCATACAAAGGTACATCAACAAAATTCAAAATGTTTGCCCCCAAAGCCAACTTTGTACCCCCCCAAATGTCCTCGATTCCTTGATAATTAAGTTATGTGAGCATCTTTGCTGATATGTAAATTCTGCTCAAAGGAACTAAGAGCCTGTACTTTTCTACTGACACTGAAAACTGACACTAACCAACTTTCACTTAAACTCTTCAAAATTGACAACAAGCAAGAGCCTTTGTGGCATTCCTCTCTGCTGACAAGAAACTAGTTCTGCAAAGCTTGTGATACCATACCATCATCACCATGTACAAAGAAAGCAAAGAAGACCATTGTTTCTCATTTCTCAGGCCAAGAAGGATTCTTTCATGTTTATGCACTATTATGTAACAGAAGATGTGTGCAATAACGGTGTTGCTTACCATAACAGCTGTTGTGACATTATGCATAGCAATAAGCTTGACACTACAGCTTCTTATCCTGGGTCACATTTTAATCCTGGGCAAACCCATGACCATCCTGGGTTGAAACTTTGATTTTTCAACCCTGCATTCAACCCAGTGTTTATTGTTCTACACTTGTGTCATGCAAATGGAACTGATCGGGGTGAGTCCAACCTGGAGATGAGCACATACTATATTCAACACGGGCTGAAAAATCTCAATTCTGGTTCGGGATGAAGGTTTGGCACAGGTTGAAAATTTCCAAGTGTGAATCATTTTCAGCCCTTCATCAACCCTGCACCAACCCTGAGATTGTCTAGTGTGAAAGCATAATGAGAATGAATGATGTGGCTCACTGTGTGCAGCATGTATATGCACTGCATCTACAGTACATAACCTAGCGCCAGGCAGTAGTCTATGATAGAGTCACAAGCTACAACTGTGGCCAAGATTGTTGGGAGCTATGCTCCTTCAAGGTCCCCCATTCCCCTGATCAATGTTGTCATTTCAAGCGGGAGCGCAGACTGCCCAGTGAGACCAAACACTGAGAGAGGAGGGGGGGTGAAGGGCCCAATGGGATTTGGCCAGGATTGTCAGAATTGGTCCATAGTTGTGTGCAGGCATGGCATACATACATGAAGTGTGGACCTCTGCACAAAAGAAGCCCAGATAATGTACGGTATGATGAAATTGTGTGGACTTGCACACGTCCACACAATGTTTTCCCCTCTCTGAAAACAGTTTCAGAGGCATTTTGGGGTCAAGGTCAATGAAGAGGAACAGTCCAGGAAATCATCATCAAAAATCCAGCTCCAAGGAGTTATCCTAGTTGGAGAAAAAGGAGCATTTTGGCCCATAACTGTCCAAAATTCTGAATTTGGAAGGCCCATTCCGATACATATTATACAACCCTGTGGGACTTTTTTTATTTCATCATTCCGTTATTGGCTTTAAAAATGCAACAATGATCCATCAAAGGCCCCAAAAGAAAGGAAAGGAGAGACTCTAATTCTTTAACCCTAACATTCCTGAATCCTCCAATTTTAATATGATTTTGCACACACCCTAGGGAGTTAGGGTGAATGATGTGTTGCGGCTCAACGTTGTTATTGTGTCATGTATGTTGCGTGCCTGCAGCTGCATTGGTGAGGGCATGCTATGCGCTCTGTTTGGTGAAAGTGAAGAAATGTAATCATTACAATTTTGTCTGTGCACAGCATAGATAATTTACAAACATTTTATGCACAATTAGCTCAGTGTTCCTTATACTTCGGTTTGCTGCCACTTTAAGTTAACAAATGTGAGATGTAGAGTCCTTAAATTCTATTGTCCTATCAGGCGACACTATCCAAGGATGTCAAGTTAGCATTACCTCGCTGCATACACATAACCTGTACATATAAACTCAGACAATCCTGGACAGCATTGTTGGGACCTGTGTCAATAGCCATACTCTCTCCAATCCCCCACTCCCCCTGGTTAATGTTGTCATCTCGAGCTGGAGTGCAGATGGCACATTAAGACCCAACATTGAGAGGGGGCCGGGGTTGGTGGGCCCATCAAGATTTGGCCAAGATTGTAGGTGCCTTTAATCCCACGCTGGAAGGTAGGGCTTAGAGAAACCCATTCATTCTGTGGACCTGCATTCCAGTGTGTCCAAGTCTCTTGGTTTATTGTTTACTAGAACAAGTTTTCCCTTACAACCAATGCTCAGGACCAGTACTGGGGAAGTATAGACTAATCCTAGCAGATGCAGTGGCAAGCTCATGTGGATGACACATAGTGTCTTCACACATTTGAGGGGCACGTGCATTGCTGTAGTCACCAACGTTTACAGCTAAGAGGCATTTTAATACAGCATCACATCTCAAACCAATGATTACAAAGGTTTTTCGACAAGAACATATGATGGAATTATCTGCGAACAGGGATAAATGAATTGCATGCTGACAGATACAACTCACCATGCATCTTACGATAACTACCGGTACCAAAGGAAAAGATTCCTCTTTAATGCTGTCAATGTTGCATGTGTACAAGTTACAAGTACTGGACCTGAGTATGAGTAATTGAGTATACAGAAACTATTGTTTAGGTGAGTTTATTCCCTTTTTCTCAAACTATGAGATACACACAGGTATGCACATGTAAAAAGTGGACGTGGTTAGAAGGATTACCAAAAGTGTCTGAAATGTTGATATGATGGACTCTACTTACCGTCTGTCAGTAAGGAACCATGAGAAAAGATGATAAAAAAAGATAGATACAATTAAAAATTGTGACAAATTACATCTGGAATACATGACATTTCCCAGTCCTTGCCTCAGGGTGCTATGCATCCCTCGGGTGTTCAAAATGTCATATCCCACATTGCAGCAGTCAACAAGCGTTTTGTCATACCTCTGTCTTAAGGAGTTTATAAAAAGAAAGCTCTGAATTTCAGAGGTTTGGAAGAAACAGGCCCACTGTCAAACTGTACAATTACCATAACAGACATAAACAATATTGTCTACAAATGCAGAAACATTCCCTCACTTTCTTTAACTGTGAAAAGTTTAATGTGAACGTAGTGCGGGTACCAGTGAGTACAAGTTCACATGTCATGTAGTCCAGTTAGCGGTCCCTGCATTACTTTATATGCAGTGGGACTAGAATGAGTCTGTTATACAAGCGTGACCACTGATCGAATTCCCTGTATCAAAACGTATCATGGGTACCACGCAAAACTGACTAAATGAACGGTCGCTCTCGAACTTCTGAAGCTCTTCTGTCTCATGCAAATGCTATTGGCAGAATGAGCGGTCTCACTTTAAGTGTGGTATGTGGATATATCGCTGTGTCATGTGATTGTTCTTTGCCAATGAACAGACAGTATCCAAGACAGAGGTATGACAGAACAGATCATCACATGGAAAGCATTTTGCCAATATTTATGATCAAATATACTGACTTATACGTAGCTTCCTTATTCAGATGACACTAACTGGGAAAGTGGAACAGTGGATCCCAAGGGCAGCTCAGTAATTTTTAATGTCCCACTGATGGAAGTACTTGACATTTGTTTCATAATATCTCGATCACCTGTCTAGGTTAAACTCATTAAAGAACAGATGCAATCTTCATATCAGTCTCTATATAAATTCAGCATTAGCAGGTAAGTCATCTGTACATTTCCAAGCCTAAATTTACCACTTTATTAAAAAAGCTGACCTTACAATGTCAGAAAATATGTACACTGCACAAGTGCATGGTCAAATACCATAGTAAAATTAGTTGGCCATAGCCTCAGCCAATTTCAAGCGGGCAGCTGTGGGTAAGATGTACATGTAATATGGGAAAATGAATTTTGGCAACTGATGATTCCAGCATCTTATTTGGCCTGCATGGGCAGAACTCAATAGTTTGATAGGCCCAACCTGACATGGGCAGAACACAATAGTTTGATAGGCCCAACCTGAGTGCTAGAGACTTTCAAAACTTGCCCATCATATGTGTGTATCTTTCATACATTTGGGTTATTTCTACAGAAGCTTTCTATTTGACAAGATCCTGAGATAGGACAATTGGCTAAATGTTGGTGGGATTGTGATTATGTATGAGGTTGAATTTTTCTAAATTTACCACAAAAAATCACTGGTAAAAACGTTCCATAAATCATTTTAAAAATAGTAGTATTATGATTACATTCACCACATTGGACAATGCAAAAACTTGACTGAAGAGAAATATGACCAATGGCAGCAGCATATGTAGCACTGTATATTACCTTTTCTGAGGTGAAGTTATGACTTTGCTGTTATATGTGATGCACTGAACTTTTAGTGTGGTGTTTCCATACGTATCAGCAGATAAAGTGACATAGCTTAGCATGCATCAACTCATAGTGTACATTAATATGTGATGCAGTGGCAATATTTGATCAAACAAGTTTCTGTTATAACAGAAATTTCATACCTACTTCCCTAATTACCTAACTCAAGATCACAACAGAATATTAGATTCCAAAGTAAGGGCATTCCACAGCATGCGATTACAATTTAGCAGTAAGACAAAAAATGTTTCAATCAGAACACATATGCAGCCCAACAATGAGTCCTACACACATGCACATCTGCTGAAGCCATGAAATCAGAGAACGGTGCACTTACCCTGAAGCCACGGTGTATTCTATTCTTCATTACTCCCAAGAATTCATTCTGACTGAGTTTTCCATCTCCTGTCAATCACAGAAACACACTTTCAGGTCAATGGATTTTGGAGTTTTACTTGTGGGAAAAAAAGGCTCTTCCTAACTGTCATTAAAATTCAAGACCTGATTGTTTGACCCTAACAGAGACCTTCATGATGCTGCCATGTTTGTCATGTTTCCTGTAGACCCACTTGTAATAGCAGTACAACTTCCCATATTACTTAAAGGGCATTTTGGTTGCATTGCTTGGAATGCTAGAAAAGCAGGATGTCTGCCCCATGATAGAGTTATATTTTGAACTACCTCATGGGGGGGGAAGATTTACTCCCCCCCCAAAGAAGTCAGCTGTCACATGCCTGATTTTTTTTTTAAACTTGGCATGCATATAAATGCTCTTCCTAGGTACACATGTGAAGTGTCAACTCTTACCTGACAAATGGTTTTGTTGCTACAGTCATATGAATTAGAAGGCCTCATGGATGTCAGTTCACTTATGTTGAGTAAGGCAGTGTAAAAGTATACATTTTTGGCTGACCTGTCTCCGAAAAATGGCCGCTGTGTGATATGGTAGATGGGGCAGATTCCCCTGGCTCTTTTAGGGCTAACTCTCCTTCCAATCTGTACATGTGTCCCACCTGAACATTATAACTTCCTTTTTTCCCTTATTCATTTCTGGAAACTATTGCTCGTAACATGATACACTGAAGCCTAGTTTCTGTTAAGTCATCAGTTCTGATAAAAACCAACCATGCAAAGTTTGCAAGTCAAAGAAATCCTGCCTTTCTATGTTATTTTCTTGGAACTGCTGTGTATCCTCTTTCTGTAGCACCTGGGTGTTATTCATGACATAAAGATACAATGTACATTGCAGCATACCAGATGTGCCTCAGTTAGCTAATACAGAAGAAATTATCTTGCCTTGGGAACTTGTGCTTTCAATGAACTTTTATACATGGAAATGTGAAAATCTCTACATTTCTGGCAGCTTTCTTTGTAAATTGTCAAGTTGCTCTTGTAACCAGGCCCTTTGCCTGACCAGGGACTGGGGGGGGGTCGTCAAACCCAAAAGTGGGCTTTTTGGCACTGTGAATATGTATTTTTAGACAAAGGCCTACCACAATGTGCTTTTGAACAACTTGTATGTTTGTCGCAAACCGAAGGATGCATGTAAGACTTGTACACTTCAATATTCACTGCATTTTGTAAATTGGCCTGGTATGACTTTGCTCGTCACCCGACATCCAGTGCTGGGTGATGAGTGAATGATATGGACATTATTATTAAAAAATCACAGAAAATCCCACAGAAAAATTTCAAACATTCTACAAAATTGTAAAATTCTAGTAAATAATTATAACCTCCACTCACCTAACTAAGAATTGAAAAAAAAGTACATATTTTGGGGCGCATTTAACAAAATTCATTTTTTTACTTCGGAAAATTGGAAAATCGTGCCAAAATAAAATTTCCTTGGAACTTTGTAGCGGATATATGAAATCAACATTTCTGAATCAGAATATCTGGAGTTTGATTAAATTTCATTTTTTGTGAGATTGCAGGTAAAATATTGCTCCATACACAATCATTAGAAGCAAAAATTCGAAGAGCCCAACGTCAGGGTCTGCGCCACTGCACTATTGGGTATGGAATCTCCAAGTGAAGCTGCACGCGAACGAGTGTTGTCATTAAACCCAAACTTTTTCAAATGCTCGAAATTACCATTTTTGGCAGGCTGGATTAGTGTCCTTGCTGGCTGGGCCATGCGGCAGTTTTTTTTCTTTTAACAGTTTACCAAATGACCAGTGAAATAACAAACAACATGAATAACACAACCATAAAAGACAAAAACGAACAGAACTTATGGTACATTTATGAGTCTGTTCATTCTCTCTGGACTGGTTTCCTTCATTTCCAACACGTGAATAGAGCCAATTTAAATGGCAACCAATGAAAACATGACTACATTGCCCCCACGCCCGGAGTGCTGTGCTGCTTGCACGCATGGCAAGGCGGCGGCAACCAGGGCTAGGCTACGCTGAGCTGAGGCTCAGCGAGGCATTTAGTGACTGATTTTATTCTCAAATGTTGCCGTATAAGCCGCCCTGAGTATAAGCCACAGGGACATTTTCAGCATGAAAATCAACGTGTAAGCCCTGGCTTGTATTACAAAAATTACAGTATATTAAAAATATTTATTATATTAAAAAAACGAGCGATTGTAGGGGTTTGTTCAAACCCCCTGAACCCCCCCAGCCTATGGGCCTGGTAATCTAAATAAAAAATTGGCATTTTCTTATTGTTTGTATTTTAATTGTTTGCTTTAATACAGGCTATTCAAAATAGTGTGCTTCCAAGAGTTTGCAATGCATTGGCCAATCACAATGGGTGAAATCTTTTGAACCTTTCCAAACGCGCATTGGGTTGACAGATTTTGTGCAGTATGATTGGCTAGTGTGTTGCCAACTCTTGGAGGTGCACTTTTGTGAAATGCTTGTATTGTTACTGATATCCAGCCAGCACAGACCATCCTATGTTCTATTATGCTAACAGTATACACTCCACATAATGACCAGACAATTTACCTCTAGATGATAATTGTTTTCTAAAATCCATATCGCTCATTTTAATATTTTGACAAAATAAGGGCTGCATGAAAAGCTGTACTACAAGTAACTCTAACCCTGACTTGCCCCTTCCACTTACCATCCTTGTCAAATATCTGGAACACTGTATGCACCACATGAGGATCCAAAATGTGACCTGTAGCTACCTGAACTGCACGGCCGAACTCCGCTGCAAGAAATCGATAAATCAGCAGGATTATCTGTATGCAATGTATTTAGGAACAAAGGGGCTCACAAAGTAAACTCATTCTTATTCTTCTTCCTTTATTTGTTAATAAACAGCACATTTCAGACAGATGGTAAATCAAGCAAACCTGACAGGACCTGTATTGTTTCCTGTACACTGTCATTGTGTTTGCATGTAATTTTTTTCTTTTTGAAAACAGTTGTTGGCGATGGAAATACCATTTTGAAAAAAAAAGAGAAAAAAGAAATGTAACCTACTTAATGTGATAAATGTAAATAAAAGGTCATGATCTATGCTTTAATATTGATGTTGATGCCTTTAATAAGCAAATTGACATGTGCTCGCCCAGTCTTAAACGTTCATTTAAAGAGGAACTCAAAAGGCTTCCAATATTTCGATATCTGGGGTTTCTGAGGGAGATTGACCACCCCAAAACCAACATGTACAATGAATTAACTAGCCGAAAATTAAGATGAGAGAAATAAGAGGCATTTTGTTTCCACAACCAAGTGGGTTGATTTCGGAAACACGTGAAATCACATGTTGTGTTTGTGTTGGTTTGATGATGTAAAGGGGAGATATGCACAACAGGCATGCATGAAGATACATGGCTTTGTTGCACCCTCAAACAAGGAGTTTTGATGACGTGTAGCAAATACACAACAATGTTAGTCTTTCATCTTTAGATGCATATAACTAAAATCTTACTCTTAGCAGGTCAAAATAATTGTGAGATTTGTTTGAAATAAAGGAGTACAAGTTCTTGAAGGTGGAGTGGAATGTAACATACTTGTGGACCCAAACTTGGCAGTGGCCTAGCCAGCATAGCACCGCAGCCATAACCGCAGGTGCACCACAACACATGTAGTCAGCGACGCTTATCCATTGCTTTGCAAAATTCAAATTGCTTCTGAAGATATTTGTTTGAGCAATCCTCCAAAACTCCTTAGCATTTTTCTGCGACAACTGAACAAGTTTAAAATCTGCCTTTATTGTGTTGAGCATTGTCTGCAAACGTTCAATTCAATGCGCCACTGCATGAAAACCTTGAGAACACCAAGTCCCAGTTTATGAGATTCCTGTCCAAAACTATACACTGCTCAAGATTGGTGTATGTTTTATTTTATGACAAAAACCCAATAAATCACGCACTTAGACTTGATGGATGCATCGTAGTGGACAAGAACCATGTAAGAACATTGCATTTTGAGCATGCCTTAACTGCAAGACTCCCATACAAGCATGCACCCTATATGCAGTGTAGCTAGTGCTCCCCCTATGGTTTCAGTAATATCACAATATCATATTATCGTATCAGTAATACATAATGAGCATTTCTGAAATTGGCAAAAAAGTGTCTAGTGGGAGCCCATGTGTTTGACAATTTTTGACCATAAATGGGAAACTGTTCAATTTTGTCATGTTAATTTTGGAAGGTGGTTTTGTCACCTATATAAAGTTTACAATTGGGGAAAGAAGAGTTTCTTTTTTTATTGCCTCTTTATTCCCAGACTCATATAATACACTAGCACAGAGTAAATTCTGTTTATATGTGGCCTGCCACAGCTCTTTTATTGGACATATCCTGCCAGATACCATGGGCAAACTGGCAAAGAAAAACAAGACAGTTGGGCCACCAGAACCCTGGGTTGACCAGACCCAGCCATGAATAGGGCACACAAGACCCACCATATCTAGGCCACCATACCCCTGATTACAACCACTAGTGTATAGGGCACCAGACCAATCCATGAATAGGAAACACCAGGCCAGCCATGTATTAAACCATTCACACAATGGGTGACCCACAAACAGTCCTGACATGCACAAAGGTTGAAACACCAGGCCACACAATTTATCAAAGGTAAAAAGGGAAAAAACGCAGCTTAAGAAATCCTGAAATGCAAATATACCAACAATTAAATCAATTATTAAACAAACCAGGCACCAGATGTTCCCCCAACTTAACGCAAGGCATGGGAGGAATGGCCCCAAGTGAACCTCCAGGGAACCCTTTCAGTGTCTGTCACAACAAATTGTAATTTAATTTAGGTAATGAAAGATTTTATCCTAATTCCTGTGCCCACTGCACTCCCGCCAGAAAATGCCCAAAAACAACCCGCTAATATTAATTAACCATCAGCAGTAAACATGCTTTATAATGATGGTCAATAATTAACAAATACATGCTTGGTCTTCCCCTGCTTAAATCGATGGGAGGAATATTAGCTTCTGGTGAACATCCAGGAAACTACTGGAATTAAAGAAGGCACATGAGGATTTAAACCAAGCAACCATGGCATAATCTTAAGTACACCTCGAATGGAGGTGATGGGGAGGAGGTGAGATATTTTTAAAAGTACTTCCACAACATGTGCCCTGTCCACAGGGCTGTGACAAAGTGAACTCCAATTTGCACCTTCTTTCTGACCAAACCAGCCAGCAGCACAAGAGCCCCTCCCATTGGGTAGAAGTTCAATCCAACACAAGTTCTCATCGGTCAAAATCCTACGCTCTGATTGGTTAACACAGTATGCATAGATTAGGCCTTGGATCCTTTTGACAACTCTGTGTTTCTCAGAAAAGGTAAAAAGGGGTTCTGAGCCTGAAATCCAATCCCAATCCTGTATCTATTTATATTGACAGAAAGCTGACAAAAAGAACTTTACAGAAATGTAAAAATATTCTGTCCAGAAAGCTTGTGCTTTGCAGGAACTGTCATTTCCACCAAATTCACAATGCCCCTTGTGCAAGAAAAGCCTTTGTTCATCCACACACTCAGGCCCTCACATTGAACGGTTACCACATTTATTGATTTTTCAATGAGGCATAACTTTAAAGAGAAAAGGGGGTTTTATTAGGTAACAAAAGTGCAATATCCTATTTGTGAAGTGAAACCTAACACACAGCTAAATACATACACACAGCCCATAATGACAGCATGCTTAAGTAGGTAGTCTCAACAAACATTTAAGACTGGCCTATCGCACATTTATTGCTGTTCATAAATACATTACGAGTCAAAAAGTGAAAGCATGTCAACCACTTGCTGCCGGGGGACCCGGTTTCGGGTTCATTTTCTTTATACCTATTGATTCATCAAGTTGCCCCTGTACATGTACACGTAAACATAAGACCTTTTCACACTAGACAAATCTCAGGTTGATGCAGGCCTGACGCAGGGTGGATGCGGCTGACTTGAAAACTGGTGACGACTCACACTTGAAATTTTCAACCTTGCAGCAACCCTGCATCAACTTCAACCTGGGCTGGACTCAACCCTGCTCTGGACAAGGTTCAGATTTTCAACCCGGGTTGAAAGTTGTTTGTATTCATTTCCGGGATGAACTTGCCTGGATAAACTCAATTCACACAAAACAAGTGTGAAACAATGCTGGGTTGAAAATCACATTTTCAACCCAGGGTGGTCATTGGTTTGCCCAGGGTGGAGTTCAACCCAGGTTGAGAGGCTGCAGTGTGAAAAGGCGTAGAGCCCTTTTACGTCAAAGTCAAGGAATCAGATTGTACTGGGGGAAAGCTTCTGCACATTTCAGGACATTCCAGTCAGTAAGCAGTTTACAGTAACTTGTTTCTTTGCTTATTCATATTTCTTTCAATTTGTCAAGCACAACAACTTTGGAGCTGGAGCTATATGTTTGTGAACTCCTTAGTAAGGTGGAATGCATAGCAAATGGTTGACTCTGATCTGAGAACTGCAGCTGTTTTGGTTATTAGAATCACTTAACCTTTACCTTCATTCATGGGCTGATCAGCAAAAGCAAACATTTTAAGAACAATCTCAAAGTCATCCAAGTTGTTCAGGAACTGGAAGAAATCCTTGAAGTTCATGAAGTTGATGCCCTGAAATCAAATAAGTACAAAGCCAAGAAGGAAATTAATTCCATTACTGAAGCAGAAGCAAAAAACTAGGCTGATGAAACAAAGCTGAGATGTCACAGGGCTAATTATTAAGAAGATCCTTTGTTACAAAACTGATACATTACTAATCGAACTTACTAAGGCATCCTATGTCTTCTGACATGTGGTACTTTGCCTTTTTTCAGAGTTCTTATACACATATTCAAAACTTTTAAGAACTTACCACAACACTAAGATTCCAAACCATTATCAAAATCTGAAGTACAGATGATTAGCTCTTATCTAGTTCCTATTATGATGCCAGGAACAGATTGTGTCTTTCAATTACAAAGACTAAATGTGTTATTTTGGTATGCGTTACTTTTACTGCGTTTTACTGTGTGCTCTAACAAAATAAAAAGCCGTGGTATATAGCCTCATCCTGGAGACTGTGATGCACACATTGTACAACAGTAAACCACTCATGTGTGGTACTTTTTCATCAATAGAGACTTGCATGGAAAGATTTTATCAAGGGGTAAGATACAAATTCACTAGCAGTACAGTGTTCTCCATGGCCTTAAAGTTTAGCAAGAGAGCAGACACAATTTTAGAAGCGAGTATGAAGTCCTTGCATCCTGGGGTCATATGGGCCTGGAAATTTTAGATTCTAGATGCTCTGTGGTGCAATCGGAGGCATTTCCTGGCCATAGTTTTCTGACTCATTGAATCAAATTTGCTTTTTAACAAATTAAAATAAAGACAAGACTTGGGGAGGGGGGGTGGTCATCAAAACCTGATTTTTCGGGCAATTTTTTTTTATTCTATTTTTTTTACTGAGTGAAACCCGCAAGTGGATGACACATTTTCCAGGAAAAAAGGAAGCCCTTGAATGTTGCAGGAATACTGTAACTTAGGTAAACTGGTGCTCCATGCAACAAAGTGAAAATGATATTACCAGGGTGATTGGAACCAGTCTACATTTGCACAGATGTATAGTTTTATTATGTGAAAGCATGATATTACATGTTGAAAATGTGTATCCAGATCTGTTTAAATCTAACTTAGTGCAATGCCGCTGAATATTAATGCTGGCAAACTCTTCATACTCTTCCACAGAGTGGGTTAAACTTCTTTGCATTGAAAAATCCAATGGGAAAATATAACAAGGTGTTGAAAATTATACCATAAAATTTAGGCAGGATTGCCATCCTGCTAAAACCCCTCATGCAGAACACTAGCATAGGTTACCCATAGGTTATTGCACCATTTTGGTTTACTTAACTGCTACCACATCTCTAAAGTGTGTAGAATCTATGGGTGAGGTGTAACTAACTGATTTCATTTATGGTGCAAAAAACAAACCTTCCTCAGTGATCTATTCCATTAATTTAACCATCATCTTCATGTTATCTCTTGACTTTTTCTTTTCTGGGGAATGAAGATGGGGGATTGCTATAATGATGTTCACTGGAGTGTAGCTATAATTCAATTATCTTGTTTGTTAAATTTCTAGGAAAATAGTTATTACTTGAACTAATGATATGACCTCACTTTTAGTTAAAAATAGACATTACAACTACAAGTGTTTTTAATTTTATTATTTAAGAATCAGTAAAACATTCACAAAATAACCTCCAGAAAAAATGGACCAAATTTGTGATTTTCATTCCTGTTTTTCCTTTTTACATTTCTGTCACTCTTTTCTTTTGTTTTTAAAACTTGTTTTCCTTATGACACTCATGATTGGAGTTTCAAAAAGGCATCAATGCCGTAGAAATGTCTTACAAATCCTGAACAAATAACCGCAAGTTCAACTTTGTAAAGGACTGTGATTGTTTCAGCCAAAAATAAGTCCTCACTTGGGACAAGTTCACTGCAGAATGAAACTTTCATCAAGTGGTTAAAAACTGTATGTGTTTTCCATAAACTACTTAAAAACAATGTAGCCTGTGAATACAAATACTAGCCTTGTCACTTGACAAATCATGAAACAAGAAGTTTTAGTGATACACTGAAACAAACAACTTAATTGCTTAAAAATTCAGCCTGGATAAAAAATGACATTCATTTTACAGTCCAACAAAATAACAGACTATCCTGTTATGCAAAATAAAACTAATTGTATAATTTGTCTTTTATGATTATTTGAAACCTTGGAAAGGTAGAAACAGTTTAGCTATTTAGGTTTTATTTGTCATGCATGGGATGATGGAAGTCAGGTGCAACAGTACTTCCTTACATGTTTGTGACCAGCTTGGCACACGCCAAAGCTGACAGGTGGATTGGATTGTTGGTTCCCCTCATTAGGTAATTTTACTCTCAAATATTTACCTGGATGGTTTTCTATTTCCCAATAACAATCCTGTTTCAGAGCATTTACTATAATGTAGATCAAGTAAGTTACATTCAGATACATTATTCCTAAAAGTCTTCAGAAAATATAGCAATAATAGTCATTTAATATATTCCAGTTCACTTACAGTTTTCTCTCACTCACACCTAATTCTCTGTCATTGTCAGTAAAGTCACGATTGCCATGTTGCCAAGTACATGTATGTGTTTCAACTTCCATACAACAAATCCTTGACTCTACATGTACCTATAAATTGGTGACCCCCATAGAATATTAGATTGGCAGAGCGGAAACATACTCAAGACTCCAGCTGTTTTACTTCCTTGTTCAAAGCTGTTTATACACATCTAGGTATCAAGCCACTGCACCATACAATAGCTCCACCAGTTTTCCCTTGTGAGTTCAAGCATCCTGAATTCACAGAAATGGCAGCCCACATAAAATTTTTTTTGGGGGAGGGGTCAATATTCTAATTCTGTACACAGAATAAACATCACCCACATACAATTAACAGCCTGTAGTCACTCATTTTGTCATGACAGGTCCTAAAAACCACAGTCAGAATACTTTTAGAATGTTTTTGGCACTATGTGAGCGTAAGAGTCATGGATCTGCATATGGCACACACACACACCGTTGTTTATACACAAACTGGGCTGTTGGCAAACATCTGAACACTGGGACAAAAACAACGGCTTCAGTCTGGACAACACAATGGCTTCAAGAGATTGAATCCACAGTAAGTTTTCCCCGATGAAGAACTACAGTGCAGGAAACAGTGGCCAGAGTGAGATAACGGTGTCAACGTATATCTCTACAAGGCCCCATTTACTAGCCTACAATCAAACATTAATCAAAGATGGAGCAGTGTGCAGTGTGTGTGTGTGTAAGAGACCTAATTATGCAGTCTAGGATACACCTATCTGATGAACTGGTGGATTGTGCAAGGAAGCAGATTGTACAGCAAGTGATTACAATAAATTCTGTGGTGCAGGCTAACTGGAAGCAGTTTAAATGTGATCACTGGCCTTTGGACAGGTCCATGGGACTTTCAAGTTCGGATGTCTACTGAGACAATGAATTGGACAACAAAGGAACCAATGAATTCCACAGGGGAGGAGCAGGACACTGTGTTCAATATCATCAGTGCATGTGCATGGATACTTACTGTGGTGCTCATTATACTTTTTAACCTACTGTGCCTCATCATTCTGTCCAGAGTGAAGGAGTTTCATGATGCTACCAAAATCTTTTTGAAGTCTATGACAGTGGGTGATCTGGTGTTAGGCCTTTTTTTCTATCTCCCAATGATTGGTGTTTCACTGGCAGGAAGGAAATGGCCGTTTGGTGGACTGTGTTTTGTTCAAGCATGGATGATTAGGCAAGGACTTCCAGCATACTCCTTGTCCTTACTCTTGGTGACCATAGATAGATATGTTGCAGTTGTCTATCCATTGAAGTATAAAAAAATACTGACTGGGAGACGAGCCAAAATTACTGTAATAACTGTCTGGCTTTTGACTAACATTTATTCATTAGTGTCATCAATCAAGGCCAACTGGAAGAGTGACTACAATCACAATCTATTTGTCTGTACCTTTGATGGTCCAGGAAATGAACTTGCTGCATTTCTACTGACCATACTCAGCATGGCTATTATACTTATCATCATCTTAATGTACTTGCGAATACTAATCATAGCTCGAAGTCAAGCTGTGATGATCGCTGCACAGCATCCACTGGTCACCATTACTGGTGAGTTACAATCCCCTCCACCAGTGAACAGAAAATCATTCACCACCATCTTCATAGTCACTATGACCCTCTTTGTGGGCTGGCTACCTTCCTTGGTTATGGGTTTAATGCGCAGATCAGACGAAATATCCCCTCAGTGGAGAGTGGCATCCCAGATAGTGCTTGCTTCAGTAAGCTGGCTCAATGTCATCATCTATTATGTGCGCAATCAAGCTTTTCGAGAAACAGGCCAGACTTTCCTGCGGAAGATTACTAGGAATTGTTGTGGACTTTGTAAGGAGAACAATAACAATTCTGGGCAAAGCTATTACACCTGCAGTGGATCTGGACAGGCCTAGCTATCTTACATCAGACTGAATTCCAGGGATAACATAACTTATTTACTGTTGCTCCAATCTCAGTCCACTACAAAATAGCCATTTTGATGACATCATCAGATCAAAAATAACAGTTCTGTGGTATGGAATAATGTAAATATTACCATTATAATACTGGATAGATGTAAAAACAATATTTTCCTAAGTCAAACTGTTGGAAATTATGCTGATTCAAAATACTCGGTAGCAGAGTGTGGAGCAGCAATCCTTAAGGCACAATCTACATGTACAAGGTAGTTTCTGTTTTATTGCATTTGAAGGTTTGATGAAGTCTGTACCATCACATTCTGGGGTTCATTATTTTGACTATGTGACTTCTAAATTTTGCTTAGGCTTGATCTTCACCTTAGCATTATTAACCTTATCCTCATGAGTGTATGAAAAATATTAAGACTTGAAGAGAAGGGCTGACAACTGCTAGTGCTAATAAATACATTATGTGCATTCATTAAAGACACTAACCTTACAATGATACGCATTATCAGGGAATTAATAATTTACAGATATGCCTGACATATCTTCCAGTCTAGCAGTCACAGTCACAAATAAGAATGTTAGGACAAAATTAATAACAGATGACTAGAGACCTTCAGCTGAAATCTAGGTCTCCAGTAGCTTGAATTTGGAGTAATGGGTTCCACTTCTGTCTTTAGACCACTGGGGGAGGGGAGAGAAACAAGGCCATGTGTAAACTGGGAAGACTGGGGTAATTGGAACTAAACCTGAGCAGCACAGAGTTGTTCATGATATGACACCATCCTTTCTCTCCTCACATTACACAATGAATTTATCACTGACTAAACAATGTATAGTGACCATTGCAATACGCAATAAGCCTTTTGTGAGTTAAATATAAATAGAACCTGGTCCACTGAATTATCTGTTTGCACCTACACGTAACAATCTGAATTCCCCAGACTAAAGACACTATTGCTATACCTTGTGATTTGGGGCAAGCTTCTGCATAGCAACCACCATCTCTGGAATGGACTAATTCCTTTGTGCCCTTATCATTGAGAACACTGTATTGGTGCAAGGCGTCTCTTGTGCAATTAAGCAAAGCTTGCCCCAGATCATGAGTATAGCAACAGTATCTTTAGTACAGAGATTTCAAACTGTTGTGTTCATGTGAATTTAAAAAACTCAGTGTACCAGACTTTATTCACAAATAACTCTTCAAAACCTTGTTACAGGACATCTGAGCAATGTACTTATAAAACAATGGGGCTAATTATAGGACCCATGATAAACTGGTTACCATGAGATAACTAATGAGCTGCGCCGGATCAACAAGGAGAAAATGTGTCTGCAATAATCTTCTCTAAGTGCACATCATACACTTATTGAATGTACCATATTTCCAGGTTTTAATAATAACATGTCTAAGATGAACACATAGACCTGAAGTATGATCTGCAATATTTCTGACCACCTTCAAAAACAAAAAGCTATCTAGTAGTGGACATGTGAACAGATAGGGCAATGGCACTTTCAAACCACTTAGATCATTGGATGACTTGTTTCTTTATGTTGTAATTTCTGTTGCAAATGTATGAGACCTTTGCAACTGTTGAACCTACAACAGAACATTCTCAGCAATAAATAATCTTGGGTAGATCGAGTGTCTTTGCTTATTGAGCCAATAAGCAAAATAGGCCTTTTGCCCTTTGTTATTATGGATACCCTGAATAAATGGGAAATGGCATTTTGTGTACGTGTAACAGCAAAATATGCATTAACACTTTTTACAGCATGAGGGGTCAGGGGTCTAAACTTTTTGGTGTGCATCCAGTCCATCTAACTGTATGCAATTAGACAAAAAACACATTCACAATCATGGAAAATGTATCACATGTGCATCATTATTCTGGTTGAAGTGCGTGCCTCGATACAGTATGTGTTTTGCACAGTATATGGACACAGCATTAGGAAATGATGCCACATTTGGCAAGTTTTACATATCTTTGAATGTAGAGACATTCCGTAGCAGAGCTGGCTATTAGTTCTCTCCATTTGAACATACAAGAATGAAGTGTAAACAGGCATGAGTGACACAAACGCTCCGCCAAGCCCATGCCAATACCTGAAAATGTATGTTTTCTGATCAAAACAAGATTTGTCTTAAGCCATTTTGGTCTTTACCATATTTTTACTTTTAGCTGTATTTGAAGTTCCTACACAAAGCATTTCTTTTGTTCTAGTCACGGTGACCTTGACCTTTGACCTTTGAGATCAAAATGCAATGGGCTTTTCAGGACAACCAAGGGCAATTCTCAGAATGAAATGTTAAGTCCATATATGCAAAGCATTTCTCAAGTTATTGCGCTGACAAGATTTCTATTGTGTTGGTTGTTTATCTTGACCTTCGACCTTTTGGCCCCAATGGCTTCCTAGATCACCTAGAGCAATCCACAAACCAATTTAAAGGTTATATACAAAAGTAATCCTCAAATTATTTCCTGTCAAGAATATTTCACACACATGCACACCAATGGAAGGACAAGGAGGAAACAATATGCCCCTTCAACTCCGTGGGGGCATGAATATACAGGGTAAGACCAAAGGTGCATGGCAATACACATATGTACATGTACAATACACCAAGAATGCACAAATGGAAGCCCTTCATCAGTCTAAATGGAAACATGGTAAAAGGAAACTCATAAGTTACCAAGGCAATTTATGACTTATATTTTTTAAGTGATAGCAATTATCGGTGAGAGCATTTTCATGAAACCAAACCTTTCAAACCCATTCTCTCATAGGAGTTCTGGTAATTTTATTTATGACCTAATTAGAGGAGTTATAGTTTTGGAAAAATGCCAAATTCAGCTGGTAGCCCCAGAGTTATGAGTCACCATTAATTGAATCTGGAGTTGAAATCCCACTCTTTAAAATAAATCATGTCTGGTCGTTTGACACTACCATCATGTAAAGTTAAGCAGGTTGAGTGGAGTCCCAAATCATCTGACCAATACTAGAACACCAATTGAATCAAACCATGACCATTACCATTTCATTTAAAATGACCATTGTGATCCACTAATTTCTCACTACAAATGAAAATAAGTAAAAAAAAGGATATGTACAAATTTTGTTACTGTTTTGACCAGAGAAAAAAGAACATTCCGGCATTTTGGTTAGTACCCACACTATTTATGCCCTGACTTGAACATTATTTACTACAACTTTTAGTTATCACTGTGTTATCACATCAGGTGCACTGTGACTCATTCAGTGGCCTATGGGGGAGGGATATGTTGCCCCCAAGGCATATTGATTGTTTTTTAGGAATTGAAAGTGCCAGTATTTTGTAAATGATTGTTTGGGACTAATTCTGGGCACTTTCTGTAGCAATGATGTCATGTAAATTAGCAAAGAATGGCAACGGGAGAATTTGCCAGAATTGTTTTCATGTACTTCTTGAACACATTGAACGCCACTGATAAAAGAGTTAATGAATGTTACTTTTAGATATCAGCTCTACAAACAGAAATCTCCTTCAATGAAATGACCTTCAGTTCTGGGTAATAACAGCAGATAAAGTACAAAGGATGGTATTTGCAATTTCTTGTGCAAGTAAATGATGAAAATACCGTTGAAAAGACAATCACTACAACAAAGATGTTTAAGTTTCAATCATCTGTAATGAACTTGTGTGATATTACCAATGTCAAAATTCAGGCACATACCACCACAGCACTGAAAATTCGGCATGGCCACCACAATAAAGATGTTTAAGTTTCTGTCATCTCCAATGATGCTTGTGCAGCATTTCTAATATTGACTTTCAGGCACATCAAAGATACAAGGTTCCTCTTTATCTGATGTCTTCACTTGCGAGATGTAAGTATTGACTTACAGGCAAACAACCTGAGACGTGGTCACTAAAATTCGGAATGGGGCTGTCTCATAATCAGATTTGAAAAGGCAAGACAAACCCTAATTGAACAATATGACTAAACTCAGTAAACGCTCACAGAAAACAACACAAACTTGGACAGAAAAGTGCCAGCTGGTGAAGCACAGGAACAAGTTGCAAGCAATGTCTTTTTTCACTGGAAATTAACATCATTCCACTGGGACTTAGTCCCAAATTTTACCTGAGAAAGTCCCAATCACATTTTGTTTATTCTCCTCTCCTGTACAGTCCTAAAAAGCCACTCATACAATAGACTCTGAGTCCAGGGCCCAATTTCACAGAGAAGCTTAACAGCTAGCAAAAAAGTTGTGCTAACCAAAGCAGAAATTTTGCTAACTGTAAGCACTATTTCATGGCAGTGCTTGGCGTGGTTGTGCTCACAGTTACAATTACATTTGTTTGGTCACTACATTAAGCAAATTCTTCTTCCCTGATAAGTGTGACTTTTGCCATGCTTACAATCTCCATGAAATATAGAGCCTCTGTTAGTGTAAAGTCCTAGGCTTAGCAGCACCGTTGGACTCTACAAATCCCAAATGCCATCTCCAAAAACACTTCCACGATCAGTCACAATTATAGGGTATTTCATTCAAAATTACATGCATGATCACAAAATATGAATAATCTTGCATGCAGGAATCTGAATGTTGCACCCCTTAAACTGGATGCCCTCAATAATGACCAGTGTTTTAGAGAATCTACTGTACAGTCCAAGGAGATTGTATTATTGTCACAATTATCACTGTGGCACCCCACCCCACGTAGTCATGCCTACATCTGGTAAATCACAACACGTTTCCCCTGTGCCTACGTATGATAACACTGCAGTAATGGATTCTAATTTGGGTTGCTGGATTAATTAGTCTATGCTCTACTTGATTTGAAATGACACATAATCTGTCAGGTCAATGACAACTAGAAAGTGGGTGGCCAATGACTAATACACTCTGCAGATGAAGGTCCTCTGTGCATTGAAATGAAAATGGCAAATCGAAATTGCATGTAGTCTTGTAACGGTGCCAGTGATCGTCACATAAAGCAACCAGGGTCATAACCCTCCATCCTGAGTTCCAGGAAAGGCTTCAAAGTAGGAATTGAGAAATATTAACACCACCAAATTGTAGTAGTTCCATCTTTCAAATCAATAAGCATAACAATTGTCTTGCTCAGTTTCCAGCAGTGAAACAATAGATTTTATGGAAACTTAAAGAAATTTAAAACATTCAGGCTTTGTGTATCTACAAAGTTTCTGGCCAGTAGGAAAATTAGTTGAATTTCTGACTACTGGTATTTCACTATGTCTACAACCAGTGGTATAGCCAAGGGGAGGGAAGGGGGTAACTTCCCCTTGGGAACTCTCTCCTTTCTCCCCCCTTGTCCCCCTCTCAGAAGAGCCGGGCAATGCCACTCTATATGAATCTGTACTTGTGCCTATATACAGTGTCACTGAAAACCTTTCTTACTCAAATAGTACAATGTAAATTATCCAAACATCCAAAAACATCTATCACATTGATGAATGATTGCAACAAATGAAAACAAAACAAAGC